GCTCCCCTCCATGAACTCCATCCATCTAGCCTGGCGACGACTCAGCTGCGGCTGCGACTTGAGGAAACGGAGCGAGCAGTGGTCCATGCGTATAACACTATCAGCCCCCTCTAGGTAGCACCTCCACACCTAATACGCATGGATGATTGTGAGCGCCTCCTTGTCGTGGATCGGATAGTTCAACTCCGCTCCCCTAAGCTTATGCGACTCGTATGCGATCGGCTGCAACCCGCATCCCTGGTCCTGAAGAAGCACTGCTCCTATGGCCTGGTCTGATGCGTCGGTCACACGACAGTGTCGGTGAAGACGTCAGCGACTGCTTCATTGAAAAAATGAAATATACCAATGGCCGCATGCAAGCTTGTAATGCACTTAGACTTACCTGAACCGGCGGCCAGGGGAGCAGGTGTGCCTGACGGACCGGCACCCACGTCGTTTGGGCCGGGAATGTATGCGTTAGGGTCCACGTCGGTCACACCTGCACCACCGCCATCGACCACATGCGGCCTTACGGCCGCCGTTCCGTGCTTCAGGTTTTGCACGTAGCCCCACCATTTCGGCTTCTTTGTTGCTTTATTACCGGATCCCATGTCCTTACGCGCCAGCTTGCAGTAGTCTGCCATAATGCGCTTCCAGGCCTTCTTCATCGGCTCGCTCTCGCGATCTCATCCCGGGTTAGCCTTCTTCATATGTTTCCGCAGTTTTTTCCAGTATTGCGAGCCCTGCTTCCCTTTCAGAGCTTTGATGTCATCTCGGGTGTTCCAGCGAGCCGCTGCCAATTCCACGAGCTCCTCTGGAGCCCATGCTGTATTGTAGTTGTTGTCCGTCCTTCGCGCGGGACTTGTAGTTGTTGTTTATCCGAGGCCGATTCAGCTTCGTCTTGGCCTGGAACCTTCCCTTAAGCCTTTGCAGCTGTGTAGGCTTCACCTATGGGCAATTGGGAGCCTTAACACTATGCTGCAAGGAGAGAATATTAACTCCTTGGAACGCACGACCCTTTTGAACGCTCCTGAGTGGTTTGCCAACTTCTCAGGTACCTGAATAATGTCTGAAGGCTTTTCCTTGGCCTTGAAATCTCCCTTGAATTTTTGAAGGGCTTGAAAACCTCGAGAGGGAATATTCTTACTCTCGGGGGTGTTCGGCTGGAGTTTCCCGGTCGGTGCAGAGTCTTGTTTCGCGGAGCCTCAATTTGTCTCGGCGATTTCTCCTGTTGCCGTCTGGTCGTGGCGTTTTAAATTCGCGCCATCATGTCCTCCTTTTTTCGCCATCGTGGATGTCGCATTGTTGTTGCCCTGCAGCTCCGCTCGTGCCTTCTTCATTTTCCAACACGCCAAGAGTCGATGTCCTGCTGCGCCGCAAAATTCGCACTTCTCATATTTTGTCGGCCGCTGCTTCGCGTCGATCTTGTCGATATCCATCGGGTCGGCGGTCCTGGGTGGTGCCGATCGCTTTGTGCCAAATGATCTGTTCGCCACGTGGCGTCGTGTCTCGGGTTGATCTCGCGTCAGCGCATCGAATCTCTCTGCTGCACACACCATGTTGTGGTAGTTGTTGTAGTTCGCGGCAATCACCTATTGGCGGACTTCCATTTTTAGCCCCTCAGTATACGCTTGGATTTTTTCTCCTTCGGTCAGGTCGGTAATTCGGTTGAAGAGGCTCTCCATCTGCTGCGTGTACTGTATTACACTGCCGAATTATTTATGCCGATGAATCTGGTGCCGTGCCATGTAGCTGGAGTTGATTGGTTCGAAACGTTGAATTAAAGCTTCCCGAAACTGCGTCCATGACCCCTCGCCTCGGATCTTGTTGCTGTTGTGAATCCACTCGAGCGCCGGGCCTCGTAACAGTGTCGCTGCGAGCCGAATCCGCATTGCATCGTGTGTCGGGGTCGTACAGCCAACGGCCTCGAAGTAAATTTCGAGGGTCGCAATGAATCGACGGACGTCGGTGTCTCTCGCATTCGGATTGAACGTCTCCGGTTGCCTCGGACGTGCCGCCTCAAGATTCATTGTAGCTACTGCCGCTGCTGCTGGGTGAAGTGTCGGGGTCGCTGCTGCTGCTGCTTGCGTCGCTGCTGCATTCGCTGCTACGTTCGCTGCTGCTGTGGCGGCTACCGATTGGTTCGCGAGAAGCGCCTCTATTCGCTGGAGTGCCGCTCGCGTCTGGTCTAAGCCAGTGTGTAACTCCGTAATTTTTCGTACGGAATTGTCACCATTTTCCTCCATTTGGCGATTTATAGGAAGATATGCGACAAAAACAATCGAATTCTAGGCGCTGGTCATCTTACGGTGAGTCGAGTTGACTGCAGAAATGACGAGGGCTGATTGTGTAGGTCGCGTAATTCTCCTTTAGTCGAAATTCGCGTCTGATCTCGGCCGTTGAGAAGAAATTCGATCCGACGCTCCAAATTCCAACTTTTTTGGGCGAAATTCTCGGGGCCGTTGAGATTCGAATCGATCCGACGGTCGAAATCCCAACTTTTTCGCCACTGGACCCGAGGAGTGTTCGAAAACCGGTTCGAGGGGGACGTTAGAAAATAGTGCGGAACTGGTTTACGTACCCAAAATCGGCGCTTTCCGTCGTCGCCCCCGCGGTTTTAAAAGCTAGGTTTTAGCGGTCGAAAAACTTTGCTTGCAAACAGGCTCTGATTACCAAGTGTGAGGATCTAGGCTTGATCTCAGAAAAGAGAGTTTGAATTGAATGAATGATCACCTGGGTACAGCACGAGGCTATATATAGGCTCGACACAAGGCCCTGTAACCAGGTGTTACGCGAAGGTTCCGCGGGTCGCGAAGCGTCCCGAACAGATCCTTCCTGAATTCGATAGAAGGCAATTCGGTGGCAACCGAAAAGCCAGAATTCGGTGCACGCAACCTAGCTCGGTGCTATAACTATAATAAAATATAAGAAAGCACCTAGCCTAGGAAATCAAGCAATTCATGCATGCATATAATTATCCTATGCTAGAAATAGCATGATATAGTAAAGGCAAGCAAGCATAGCTGGCATAAGTTGTCGTACTCTCACATTATGAGTGTTAGTGGAAATGTTAAAATCAGTAGTGTTACAATCCAAAAGCATCATGCAGTGTTGGACAATGACTTAGGCTCAAATGGCAGTGTTGGACAAGGTTTTTATTTATCCAGCATGTGTATTGTAGTATGTTTCATTAATCACAAAACAAAAACAGGAATAATAGTGTAAGGTACAACGGAACCACAGAGGAGGAAGTGGTATTATAAAGCAAAAAGAGGACAAAAAGAGGAATGACAATAACGAGTGCAGAGGGAAACCCCCCCACGGCCCCCCAAAGCTCCCCTAAGGCCCCCCTACCCCCCAAACCTCCTCATAGCCCCTCACAGCCCCCCAACCCGAAGCGTGTATAACGAAGCGTACCCCCTAGCCAAATCCTAATCCGACAAATGCTTGCGTGGTTCGACTGCCAGCTGACGCTGGCAGTTGATTGAACCTTTTCAGTGCCCCCCATCTCACCTCACCCTAACTCGCCCGCATCGCGGGTCGAGTTGAGTCTGTTTCCTACTACTAGTGCATGCTAACCGCGACTAGCGCTGCACCAGGCCGGTTATCTAGTGCTTCCCTTCCCCGATCACTCAGTCACGAAAACCAAAGAGGCACACGACATACTATGGCGATTCTGGATCGTGCTACATCCTGCGGCGAGTAGAAGTTATTTTTCTATCTAGAGACAGTAGTACCGTATCACCCCGGATATAAGCGCATATGCGCTTATAATAAATTCATTTTTTTGAGGGGGGGCGCTTGTAATTGAGTAACGGCCATAAGCGCCGGCGCTTATATGATGACAAATACAAAATCATACTTATAGGGTACCAAAAATGTACCTTTCATTGTTGCCACTTCAACCGAGTCGAGGCAATAGGGCGTCTCAAAGCAGAATCGCGCGGAAGCGATTCTGCTTCCTGCACACGGGCAAATTCGCGTCATTCTGCAAGCATGCCAGCACGTCCTGACTGGACGCGCAGCCAGTCAGGTCTTCGCGAGTCAGACGAAGCGAAAATGATTTTGGACTCGCTGCAAAAATGAAATTCGCCACTGTTATTAACAAGATTTCAAGTAAAAATTGTACGTGCGCTTATAATAAGTAAAGGTTTTTTAAGGGGGGCGCTTATAATTGAGGAAAGGCCATAAGCGCCATGCTCCAGATATAAGCGCCGGCGCCTTTAATCGGACAGCGCCTATATCCGGGGCCATACGGTAAGGACATCCCAAATAGAGGTAGCAGTAGCTAATCACTGCTGCGTTGCACGGTGATGTGGTGCCCTGTAGAACCCCGCTGCACCATCCTTCCGCCATGCATCACTGTTCCTCCGCTCACCCGCTCCGGTCCGACCGAACACTATTACTACGGCCGCGCCGCTCCTGCATTTTTTGCCTACGCAGGCACCATCAATACCAGCCGCGCTGTGAGCGAATTGCCCGATCAGTCCTGTGACAAACACTAGAAAATATACTGCGACAACTTCCCTAGTAAGCTATTCTCTGTGGAATCTACACGACTTACTTTTTTTTTCTCCCTCTTTTGTTACATCGATCGCCTAGCCTCAGCGTTAACGTTGCGCATGCCATGATGTGACACGGCAGGCGCATGGCAGCAGAGCAGGAGAAAGTGCCGACTCATAGAATCAGCATCAAAGCCAGGCTGCGGCGTCAGCAGCAGGGCACGGCGCGATGATGGCGAGGCGCCGGGCGGCCTCGGCACTAACTCATCACCAGCCAGAGGCATTTTCGCGGGCGTGAGTTCGACGCCGGCCGTGCCACGTGGCGTGACGACCGGTGAGGGAAGACGTGCCACGCGGCAGGTGAGGCGGCGGCTGACGTGAGTGAGGCGAGTGGTCTGAATTCTGATCGCCCCGCTCCCACCGCCGCCCTGCTCCCATCGCCCTCCTCGCACATGGCATGTGCACTAAAAATCTATGCTCTCCTTGTCACGTGCTGCCGTCCGCCCTGCCATGAGCAGATCAGCAGCAAGCGAAAACAGGAGGCATAGCAGGAGAAGAGAGCAAACGCATCAGAATGTGGCGAAGGAGCAGCGGAGGAAACAACAGTGAGGTGAGCAGGTGAGGAGAGAGGAGCGAGAAGGTGGGGAGAGAGGAGGGAAGCAGGTGAGGCGAGGAGGGGAGGAGATGAGGAGAGGAGGGGAGCAGGTGAGGAGAGGGGGGGAGAAGGTGAGGAGAGGGGGAGAGCAGATGAGGAGAGGAGGGGAGCAGGTGAGGAGAGGAGGGGAGCAGGTGAGGCGAGGAGGGGAGCAGGTGATTTGAGGAGGGGAGCAGGTGAGGAGAGGGGGGAGAAGGTGAGGAGAGGAGGGGAGCAGGTGAGGAGAGGAGGGGAGCAGGTGAAGCGAGGAGGGGAGCAGGTGAGGCGAGGAGGGGAGCAGGTGAGGCGAGGAGGGGAGCAGGTGAGGCGAGGAGGGGAGCAGGTGAGGAGAGGAGGGGAGAAGGTGAGGCGAGGAGGGGACCAGGTGAGGCGAGGAGGGGAGCAGGTGAGGAGATGAGGAGAGCAAGAGAGGAGAGGAGGAGAGCAGGTGAGGAGAGAGGAGGGATGGCGGTATGGATGGCACGAGGCCTGTCGATGGGGGGTCTGGGGCTGGGACGTGCAAGGCGAGGGGGGATGGGCAGGTGGGGGTTGTTGGCACCTTCGGCAATTGACAGGAAAAGATAAGGAAAGTTCTATCTGCCCTCCCTCCCCTCTTCATCCCTGCCGTTTCTTACCCCCCATTCCCCCCTCCCTCCCCTCCCCCTCCCCCCCTTGGTACCAGCAACAACAGCAGCAGAGAACACACCAGCAGAAGCAGGGGAAGCAGCAAACATCCATCAGCAGCAGGAGACAGCACCAGCCACCGTAGCAACAGCAGCATGGGGAAACCTTAGATTAGAAAGATCTGCTACCTGGCACAAGCATCAGCGCGGCCTCTACGGTAGCGAGAGCGGTAGAATTTGTAGCAGCAGCAGATGCAGCATCAAAGGCAGTGTGTTTTTGTGTACCAACTCTGAATAATGTACAAACCAGCCTAGCAAACTACCGGTACGCCTAACGAAGAAGAAAAGGCCAGTGTACGTAAAACACACCACATAGTGGACAGATTTGCCGACATGTGAAAAATGTGCAAGAAACCGTCAACAGTCTTGACACCGCGTAGTGAAGTGGCACTACTCATCGCCATACGGTGCTCTTTCAAACCAATTAGAGGGTCGGATAGTTTCCTAGTGAAACCTTCTAAGCAGAAAATCTGTAGTATGACAAACACAGATCTGTACCTACCGTGTTTCGGTCTCATAAGCTTAGCATTTGCAACAGCGCCATGTATGGGATGTATGGGTTGGGTTGTTTGTCAGCAATATTCAATTGATTGTGGTTTGGATTGGATTGTCATTCGAGGGTACCATAAGACCATCAAAGCGATGGCAGTAGTTGCAACATGAATAATAACTTGATCCTGAAAAAAAAAATGTTTTCATCTCATTGTTCCAACTACTTAGAAAGATGTCGTGTGATTTTCCGTTTCTAGGAAGTGAGGGGCGCGTGGAGCGAAAACGATGGTGCATGATGTTTTTTGTATTTCACAAGATGTGACAAAGGTGAAGGACAGAGGAGAGGCTATTAAAGGTTCACCTCATGTATCTTCACTATACATTGATTAGCATTCAAATTGATGGGCATGTAACCTTGAAAGACTGGCTATGAGTTAGGGCTGCTTTATGTTTTTTCTCACCGCTTTGCACCGCTTTGCAAGTGCAACGGTTTATAGCTTGTGTGTGTTGACTGCAGGGAACCGCCACGCACAGACGCAAACATTACCGCGAATACGCCCAGAGCTGACACGGGTTGACTTGACACCGTATGTTGGAATCGTTTCCCCCTTGCCAAGGGCCCAGTTCAGCAGGCATTAAAAAAACGGTTTCCCCGGATGGGCTAGAGTAAACTGACCACCCTGGAACCTTCTATAATAAGCGCGTGAAAGGTTATCTAGGCTCGATATAATCGGGACCAGGGATGGTGTACGATCACCGGAAGAAGAGGTGGGAGGAGTCAACGGCATTGGAGCGGGAATTAGCCATGGGATACCTGCCAGGAGCGACTGCAGCAGAGGGAGTAGGGGAAGAAGTGCGCAGAGCAGCTTTAGGAGGAGCCATAGATCAGCATTCGCTCAGATGGCTAATCCAGGAGATGAGAAAGGGGGCAAAGGTCACAGGAGGGAAAGAGAGTGATACCGCACCAGCAGGGGGCAAGGAAGCTGACCAGGGTAAGGATTGGGAGTTAAGGGCTGATATAGGGGAGCAGACAGCAGAAGCAGTCAGGGAAGTGCTACGGCAGCACAGGAGCACCTTCGCCTATAACCTTCAGGAACTGGGGAGGTACAAAGGAAGAGAGCTAGAGCTGAACCTCACCATGGACTTGCCTACTTACCAACGAAGAAGACGAATGAATGCAGAAGATGCTGCCATCTGCAAGGAGAAGTGTGAAGAGTTATTAGCAGCAGGGATCATCCACCCGTCGGAGTCTAGTTATGCAGCGGCCACAGTGGTAGCTGCAAGGAAGGATATCACGAGTAAAGTGCTGGCGAAAAGGATGTGTGGAGATTTTCGGGAGCTGAACAAGATCACTAGCCCGGACAGGTACCCTATGCCAACCGCAGAGGACATCTTTGACCGCCTGGAAGGCGCCATCATCTTCACTACCTTAGACTTACGGTAGGGATTCAACCAAATAGCTATCAGGGAAGAGGACAAGCGGAAAACAGCGTTCCACGGGGTGGACGGGTTATACGAGTACAACGTGATGCCTTTCGGGATACGTAACGCTCCAGCAGTGTTTCAGCAAGCTATGGATCAAGTGCTAAAGGGGATCCCTGTGGCTGCGTGCTACATAGATGACATACTAATTTTCAGCAGCAGTGAGGAGCAGCACATTCGAGACCTGAAGCAGACACTGGAGGCGATAGTGGCTGCAGGGCTGACGTGCCATCCAGAAAAATGCAAGATAGCTAGGCACACCGTGGCTTACCTAGGATTCGAAGTGAAGGGGGGTCGGCTGGCGATACAGGAGGCAAAGGATAAGGTGCTGGAGAACTTGGCAGCACCTAAGGACAAGACAGGGCTGCGGCTTCCTGAACTACTACAGGAAGTTTGTACCGAACTTCAGTCGCGGCGCCTATGTGCTGAATCAGCTGCTGAGGGAAGGGAGGAGTTGGCAATGGGGAGAGCTGGAAGAAGCGGCAAGGCAGGACCTGTTGGAAGCAGTAAGGACCGGAACTCTGCTGCAAATACCGAGGGCGGACGCTCCCTTCATATTATACACCGACTGGAGCAGTACAGGAATGGGGGCAGTGCTCTGTCAGGAGATAGAAGGAGAAGAGGGGTGGTAGCCTTCGCTAGCCGCAACTGCAGCCCAACCGAAGCTAACTACTGTTCGTACGAAGGTGAGGGCCTGACAGCTATATGGGGGATCACACACTTCAAGGTGTACCTGCAGGGACGGCACTTCACGCTGGTGTCAGATCATCAGCCGTTACTGTGGTTGATGACCAACCAGGAGCTGACTGGGAGGAACGCACGTTGGGCCATCAAGCTGCTGGGATTTGACTTTGAGATTCGGCATCGACCGGGGAAAACGCTGCAGCATGCAGATGGGTTATCAAGGAACCCGCCGCCGATGCAGCCAGTAGCACAGCTGGCAGCCATGGCTCAAGTTGCGGCAGGGGCCTGGGGGCAAGAGAAGGGAAAGAAGCGGCAGGTGGATATATGGGAAGACGAGGAGACCATGAGCCGGATTAAGGGCGAGCCGCTAGAAGAGGAAGATGTGAGCGAGAGAGTCAGGGCCCGAGGGCAGCATTACAGGTGGTTTCAGGAGCAGCTGCATCTGAGAACCAATGAAGGTTGGAAGGTGGTGCCGCAACCACAAGAGAGGGCTAAGATCATGGGGAACGTGCACGCGAAGCTGGGACACTACGGTATAACAAGAACGCGGCAGCTGCTGAGCACCATGTACTGGTGGGCGAGTATGGGAAGGGACATGGCAGGACTAGTAGCGAACTGCGAGGCATGTCAGCGCAATAAGACAAGGCTGGAGAAAGACAGGATGAGCTGCATTCTTTACCAATCCGCGGGTTAGGCTACAGGTGGTCGCTGGACCTCGCAGGAGAACTACCGCTGTCGAAAGGAGGGAAGCAGTACATTCTGGTGATGGTCGAGCACACGAGCAAAGTGGGTGGAGGCGCGAGCGTTATCTAGCAAGAGTAACGCACTGATAGCAGACGCGTTTGAGGAGCTGGTGATCACCAGGTATGGGGCATGCGGTGAGGTACTTACAGATCAGGGCACGAAGTTTCAAGGGAGCTTTGATGAGCTGCTAGAGGAGATGGGTATCACACACAGGATCACTTCGAGGTATCACCCACAATCAGACGAACTGACCGAAAGGCTCATACAGACTCTGAAGAAGGGACTGCGGGCTTACAGTGAGACTCACAAAAGGAGCTGGGACCGGGATCTCTGGTGGGTGCTGGCTGGGTACCGGTTTGCAATGCAGGCGGCACTGAAGAACTTATCGCCCTATCATCTGCTGTACGGACGGGACCCAGTGCTGCCCATCGATGCACCGAAGCTGCTTTCCGCGATTATCGAGGCAGACGAGCCGAACCTGTGGGCTGAGTTGGCACACAAAAGGCGAAGTATTTGAAGGAGTTGACCCCGGCAGCATTGGATAACCTACACGTGGCGCAGCTGCAGGACGCAAGGCGGTATCAGCAGCGTAAAGCAGCAGGGATGGGAGGGAAGGGAGACAAGGTGGTGGCTGGACAGGAGGTGTACCTGCGGAAAGCAAAACATGCCTCGCTCGACCTCGCCGTGGGAACCGAGCGATGGAAGGTGAAGGAGGTACAAGATTCGGGGGTGTTAGTACTAGAGGATAATCGAGGAGAGAATATCAAGGAACACGTCACCAACGTGGCCAGGGCGGGACCAAGGAAGCCCCATGACTCGAGCGGCTTCGATGAGCGCTGAGACACGGGAGGGGGCAGGGAAGCCTGAGACACGAGGAGTGCAGGGAGGAGTGATTACGTACGCCAGGAGGAAGAAGGGATGAATCTGGTCAGGGGTGCGGGTGACAGAGAAGGAAGGAGAGAAGGAAAATTCAGCTGGATACTTACAAGGGAGTGGGACAGAGAGTTTACAAGGGAGGATTCACGACAGCCTTCCATTGGGACACCTGGGAGGCATTGAACCGGTTTCCCCAGCCCCTTCAACAAGGTCCTTAAGGCCACTAAAGGGGTCGGCGCCTCCCACGGTGTTGATGGTGGCGCCGTTCTATAACAGCCTTATCGACGGCTTGGAGGCGCTCCTCCACAAGAGACCATCGGAGAGGCTCCGTCTGGTGCTCATCACAACACTTGGCCACCTCAACAAGTACTACTGCGCCAGTAGCAGGGAGTACTGGATTGCCACCTTCTTGGATCCACATGAAAGCGACGTATTCCGACATGAACCACTGGGAGAGGTTGCATCCGGGGACGGCGGGCGGGGGGGGGGGGGGGGGGGGGGGGGGGGGTGAGGCCGCGTGTCACTTCCACGGAGGTGATTTGGCTGGTCCTTGAGCGCTCAGCAGATTACCAGGCCGCAGCACGGCTGGCTCCCCAGCCGACGCCACTAGCATCGGTGGTGGGGAAGCCGGGGACAGGGGGGAGGAGGAAGACGAGGACAAGGACGATCAGTTTCATCCTAGCCGCGGGTGACTGATGGCTCGCATGTCAGCGAGTCAGGCAGCGGGAGGGGATGGGATGGTTCAGGATGATGAGGTCGCTAGGTACTTGGCTAGGCAGAGCAGATGCGGTTGAGCGTGAGAGCGCTATGGTACTACTGGTGCCATGCTCACAACATGATGACACTATGGCAGATGAGGAAGGGTTATCTTGTTATCCCAGCCACGGCTGCTGCTAGCGAGCAGGTGTTCTCCAAGGGCCGCAACCTCAACTCGTAGAAGCAGCCCTGACTGAAGATTGGCAAGGCTCGCAGAGCGAGAGGAGCACCATCACCGAAGCTCGCACTCGAGGGAGAGGGTTGGAGGCAGAGGATGAGGTGGAGGGGGCGGATGCTTTATTGGATGGGGGAGTAGCTGGTGGCAGTTCCGCCGTGCTGTAGCATTTTTGTGCTTACATGACATTCCATATATGTACTGTGCGTTGAGAATCATATGCGAATTCCAATCTCACCCTAAGTCCTTGCATACCTTGCTGTTTCGCGATGCTCATTGGAAAGCCCCCTGTGCGGCAAAATACTCTGC